CATCGAGTAAAACGGTCTACGCAGGTTAAAAGATAAGAATATCCATTTGAATATGGTAAACGTCTCACCAAATCCAAACGAATATGGTCGAAGCGAGCATCGGGAGTTTTATATGAGCCTAAAGGAACTTTTTTATGTCTAATAACCTTAAATTTTTGGCAGCTTACACAGGAGCGTGTCCACTTCCTCACGTTTTTATTCATACCAGGCCACAAAACCGTTCTGCTATAAGCTTGATGGTTGCACGAACACCTGGGTGAGAAAGTTTGTGCAACGTATTGAGGAGTTTGTGTCGATAATGTTTCGGTACGATTGGGCGACACCTACCTGTAGATGTGTCACAAAGTAAGGTTTCCTTACCTGTTCCCATCTGTTTAATGCGCAGTTTAAGTGCTGTCGAGGACAACTCGTGCCGAAGATCAGTGTCTTCTTTTTGAAGCTGGGCGAGTTTCAGAAAGTCGATTCCCTGAAACTGTCGAAGGAAGTTATTCGAGATTAGGCGTCTGCGACTACATTGTTTGTTCCAGAAATGTGTTGAATATCTGTAGTAAACTGCGAAATGTAGTCCAGTTGTCGAGGCTCACGTGGTGAGTACTTATCTGAAGAAGAGCTTAAGGAGAAAGTAAGTGGTTTATGGTCGGTAAAAAGGGTGCATTCACGGCCCTTGATTTAGTGTTGAAAATGCCGTACAGCAAAATACATAGCTAGAAGTTAACTACCGAATGTGTCTAGCAAGCATCTAGAGAAAAATGCCAAAGATTGACAGGAGTGGTTAACCCATTGTTGTAAGACTCCTCCAATTGCTGAGTCGGATGCGTCTACCACGATATTAACAGGTGCTTCAGTGTCCTGATGAGCAAGCATAGCTGATTGAGCGATCAGTGTTATGGGAGAGCTGAAGACATTTGGCTGAATAAAACCTTTATATTAAATATTTTTAATTTCGCTTTGTTTTAGATGTATTTGTTTTACTCAATTTCTGAACTTGTTTGTTTATATCATTATTTTCGGACATTTTGGTTTCGCTTTGTCTTTGGTTTGGTATTTGTGTTTTTGCTCCGGGAACCTACAAAATTGATAACTTTATGTTACGTCCAAGTTTTCGCTCCTTCCCGTTATTGAAGTACGGTATATCAATCTATTTGCAATTTACGAACCCAAATTGTCAATAGAACCAAACTCCAATTTAGGTACCAAAGTTTATTTGCAATTTACAAATAGTCGACCCACATGTCGTTCTAACAACAATAGTTATAACGATTACAAAACAAACCTTCAATTTTATAGATTCCCGGAGCAAAAACACACAAATACCAAACCAAAGACAAAGCGAAACCAAAATGTCCGAAAATAATGATATAAACAAACAAGTTCAGAAATTGAGTAAAACAAATACATCCAAAAAACAGTGAAATTAAAAATGTTTAATATAAAGGTTTAATACAGCTCTCCCGTAAAAATCAGTTCCTTAATCGTGGAGAATGCTTTTCGCGCGGTGTCATCCAGATTGATGGATTTCGCATTCCCACGAAGTTGGTCGGTGAGAGGTTTCAAAAGGGACGCGCATTTAGGTATGGACCGCCTATAGAAACTTACAAGACCGTTAAACGTGCTCGGTTGCTTGATAGTGGTCGGTTCTGGGTAATCTAGAATGGCCGCCACTTTGCTTCTAAGGGATCGGATGCATTGCGCATCTATAGTGTGTCCTAAGAAGTCGGTTCCGATCTGGCATTTCTGAATGTCTACAGTGATGCCATGCTTTTGTAGTCGGTCGAAAACAAGATCCAGATGCTAGAGATGCGATTGTCTGTCCGTACATGCTATTGGGCAGTCATCAACATACGCATGTACAAAGTTGAGAACTCATAAAACGTCATCTATGAACCTTTGGAAGGTCTGTGCCGAGTTTCTCAGACCGAAAGGCATTCGCAAAAATTCATAGAGTCCGAAAGGCGTTATAATAGCGGTTTTTGGAATATCGTCAGTAGCCATAGGGATTTGGTCATACGCTTTAACGAAGTCGATTTTCGAAAAGACAGTTGTACATTTCAAGGTAGCTGTCAAATCGTGAATGTGGGGCAACGGGTAACGATCAGTAACGGTTTTTGCATTCAATCGCCGATAGTCACCAGTTGGACGCCAATCATTGCTGTTCTTTTTAGGGACCATGTGCAACGGAGATGCCCATGGGCTATTTGACGGTCGTATGATTCCTAAGTCTATCATATGGTCAAATTCGTTTTTCGCCAACCTTAACTTTGAGGGGGGCAGTCGGCGTGCTTTAGAGAAAACAGGTGGTCCTGTAATCGTGGTGTGATGTGTAACGCTGCTGGTTACACACGGCCATTTCGATTGCGGTTGGTAAATGACAGAATACTTACCGAGTAGTGGTTGATAGAAGGGGTCTATAGTATGCTTGATAGTGACAGGAGATAACCTGCAATCAGAAAACGAAGTTACGCAAACAGATGAATTAGTATTTTCATCTGCTAGCCTCCGTTTGCGCGTATCGATAATTAAGTTATGGTGCTGTAGAAGGTCCATACCAATGATTGGCATAGAAACATTCGCAACAACAAAGATCCAGTGAATGGGTTTGCGTAAACCCACGTTAAGATAAACATACCTTTTTGCCATACGTAGCGATAGGCTTTCCATTTGCCGCCTGTAGATTTAAAACCGATTCGTGAAGCCGGTCGTTGGAATTCGCTGGGAGAACGCCAACGTCTGCGTCAGTATCGACGAGGTAGCGAACTCTCGCTATCACATCTGTGACGTATAACAGACGGCTATGTTCGCCGGCTACGGTTGCTGTTAACGCGTGCCGGCTTGGAAGTTTCCCGAATCGTTTTTCGTTTTGAGTTTGGAAAATTGCAGGGTTTTTTGCAATATCTAGAAGACTCTCCATACTGGTCATGATACCAGCACCAGTTGGGGTTATCCGTCTCTCGAGGTCGGGAGATAGATCGCCTACATGAAGTGCTTCTTCGTGGGGTGTGTGGGCGCTTACGGTTGTTGCGAAGTTTAAGATAACGTGTAAGTGTATGACATGACTCTGTAATATCATTCTGGGTCGTTTGAGGCTTTTCTTTGACTGAAAAACCCTCAGCATTAGAAGATTTCGAGATTTTGAGGGTACGATCGGCAGATGCAGCAAGCTCGTCTACGGCGTTGTTTTGAAACGAGACCAGTACAGCTTGCACCTGTTGAGGAAGTTTGGACAAGAAAAGTTGTTTGAACAGGCCATCATCGAAGGTTCTTTGGCCGGTAACTTCTCTCATTCTTTACAACATGTCTGTGGCAGAACCGTGTTGCAGGTCGATGTTATTAAAGAGTTGATCTAACATTTGTCGATCGGTTAGATCTCCGCGTTTAAAAATTAATCGCTTCGTATGGTTCTGAAACATCACTAGGAAACATACTAGGTGCTACGTACCTGTTGAATTCGTGCGGTAGTGCCTTGACTACTGTGAGGAATTGTGCACGTGTGTCGTTAACGCCGTGCTCATAGAAGTCGGCTTCCGCGTAGCAACACCAGGCTTCAAAGGAGATTGCTAGCAGCAAAATTCAGTTGAAAGTCGACTCAGTCTTTGATTTTCATGCTTTCATTAAGGACAAACCAGTGAAGAAGCCACAGGTATTCGGAGCTTGACAACGCTTTAACCCTTAAAACCTAATATGAAGCGTACCCACCAAGTGAAATCAAAAGACAGAAGTGAGGAGGTTCGAAGATATATTTGATAGGCTATCAATATATCGAGGATCGTCTGATCTAATCTGGCTAGCGATTGCAGTAGATGTTGAGCATGGCGTTCGCACACGTGATCTGGTGTGGATGCATGACCGAGCGACTTCAGGTAGATGAGTCCATTAAAACTAATGTGGTCAGCATCCAATGTCGAAAACTTACAGAGCTATTTATTTTGGGGATTTATTTAACGCTACACCAGATCCGGATTTCAAAAGATTTTTTCTGTAACCTTATGAGAACTTCACTCTCCATTTGAATGATTAGTTTCACAACAAATGAGCACCAATTCAATCGATAGTACTAAAAGCAAATGATATTTCCTAAGAATTCAGCATTTTGAACCCAAATAATTCCAACGTTCCAGTCGACCAGTGAAGTCCAAGTTTATAAAAGGAAATGATCGAACATTTGAATTTTCTGATGTAAATACTGTCCATAAATTAACTGCGAACTAAACAACTAGTCCAATCAAATCATTGTATATGCTGTTGATGTCGACAGATAGAAATAGAGTGTATCATAAATCGAAAGTGGAATGTCTGGAGGCAAAAGTTAGAGAAAATCGGAAAGAAGAGAACGAGAGCAGAAAGTGATGGTAGGGTAACGAAGAGATAATGAAGTCTGCGACAATTGATGGATATTCTGCAAATAAAGTGTTTACTGTATGGTTCACAGGCTTTGACAAGATATTCTGTAATGTTGTATTAATAAACATTCGATTTCTACATTAGCGTTCTTTTTCACTACACTATTACTAAAGGAATTCATGATGGAACCTTCGACGAACTGATTCAGAGAAAACACACAAGAGAAGAGTAAACACCACTGTTTTGTATTATTCCCTAAAATTTTTAGATAGTATAAAAAGCAACGTAGTGCTTGAATTTTTCTTGGGACAAAACAGAATGTTTTCGAGAACGCCGAAGATAAATAGGTGATTTCACCAGCGTCGTTGTTAACACTTAAGGTGGACTGTTTACTAAACTTACCACAGTATCATAAGCCATTATTCTGTATGCCATGAATATTGCAATGATTTTTCACATCACATCACATCTCGATCGATCACTTATACGTCTTAATGACAATCCACACTTAAGAGGGTCCTAATTTATGGTAGAACACGAAAGAACACATATAAAATGCTTATAAAATTTTCGTGGTCAGAATTCATATTATTTGGAGTCCATTATCGGAAGTTATAGTGGCGAGATATTTTACAGATTCTTTGAAGCAGGACTTGCAATCCAATTCAATTTTTGCGGTACCAAAAGGAACTACTTAAAGCGTTATTCTCCCTAAATAAACAAGAATCGTGCAATAAGGGCATTTGTTGTCAACTAATTTTTCTATTGTCTGAGGGGATTAAAAATGTGCACATTTTTAAAAACCGAGAATGCCTTTCCATGACCTTTATGCTTTTTTGATAAAGTTCAAACTTCTAAAGACTTGATTTTGGAGGTTGAATTGAAGCAAAATTACCTTCAAAACCGTACAGAATAGTTAGCTGCATTCGGTACTAAGACAACTGTTTCAAACCGGATACCTTATAATTTATAAGAGTAAATAAATTTCTTACTTAGAGATAACTACATAATAGCTCAAGTTATTTGGTGACGGTAGCAGACGGTAAGCGGAATGTATGTTAAGATGTTCTCCCAGACGTATATTTTTAGAATTTCAATTGAACTATAAGTCTAGATTTTTCGATATTTTAACTGTTATTTATAATTATGTCAAAATTGTTCAGACAGTGTAATAAACGATAATTGCGTATCGAAGTTACTGTCTTCTGTCTACTGGTCATCGTGTAAATCTTTTGCCTCAAGATGGATTTTTCAAACTTAAGTATGATGATGATGATGACATTTTACTGTGCGACGAATTGCATCATATGCAAAGCATACTTAGTTGACAACCAGCGTTCGTATGCGACGTAATTCTCAACTTCATGCAAAGTACTTCTCGGAGAATGACAAGAGCTTTTAACTGCAATCAGTTTTCTGTGAACTGTGAGAAGTGGTTAAAAATTTCACGCATTTGGGTATTTGTGTGATTATTAGTGTTGGCATGAGTGATAAGATTAATTTATATATGCTGAAAGCCAGAGGGGCTTATAAAAATCTGGGCCGTCTTCGGCATCGTCGTGATATTACTATGGTTATAGAATATTAGATTTAAAATGCATGAGGAAAGGTAATGATGCCTTATACTTTAAAACTTGACCCCTTTAAGTTGAGAATATTCGGGGACTTTGTTTGGTCATCACTGTTCCTGGAGGCTTTCTCATTTTTAATGATGTCATATAGGTACTGCTGGTGTCCGAAAATACTTTTGGGGACTGAGGATAATCGGATTGGTGTCATCATTTTAATACATCGACTTATTTGGGTTAAACCTGTCCTACAAATTTCAGTTTTTGGCAGATCTTCGGAGCTAATCTACATCTTATGGCGTGAGGCTATTTAGTGCTCTACCTTTGTTTGTTTGAGCTGCTAAATTATCGTGTACAAACTGAGTGTCAATGAGGTCTTCATTCAAACACGGGAAAATCCAGTCATGTTTACAATCCTATGACATCAATAGATTTGAAAAAATAATTGTTCTCTTCTAAACAATCGCATTTTTCCAAGACGCTAGATGGTAATAGGATTCGATCTCATCGACCTTGGAGCATCGATTACGCAACGTGTATTATGACTTAATCAGACACTATTAGTTCCAGTTGCCATATTTCTCTATAGCATATCATAAATCTTAAGAAGAGATAAAATGGTAATTTACCTAGTGTCAAAACAGGGGGAGTTAGTGACAAAATTTAGACACAAACGATACATTTTCCGACTCTTAAAGAAACATTTCTTGATAGTACTTTGTTATTGGGGTTGATTCCAATTTTACAACATTTCATTTTTTCAGTGAGAAAAGTGTACTTCAACATCAAAAACATACGAAGCTCATGGATTTGGGAAAGGAACAACAGATTTCTCCCAGGGTCTATCAATTAGCTCAAATAATTTATCGGGAGTTTGAAGTCATAAAGAAGGTCTTTGGCGAATCCGCCTACGGTGGATTAGTACCTATTGTTGTTGGTATTCTAGAAGAAATGGACCTCTTGACTGTTGATAAGCAGAAATTGGATCTTGACTTAAATCTTTTGACTGCCGAAAAGAATGATATTTCTGTACAGTTGTGTCGTCAAAAGGAGCTTTACATAGCTGCAAAAAGAGTATGTTTTAATCTAACATATTGTCATTAGGGTCGTATACTCAGCATATTCACTGTTTGGAAGATGAGCTGCTTGGTATAAAAAAAGAAACGGACAAGAAATTAGAAGAACTTGAGGAGAATTTGAGACACTATCAGCTTCTTGTCAAAAATGCTAATGATCATAGTAAGTAAAGTTTGCTCAGCTGAACTTCATGATACAATAAATTGTTAACATATACTTAAAATACTTCTCAAAACCGTGAATGACGGGTTGTTGTTTCATAAAGTACAAAATGTACGATTTTTGCAATAGAAAAGCTAATTTGATAAAAAAATACATGATACATATGATCATTAGAAGTTTCGTAAAACGACACCTAAACTATCACAGGATCCAGTAAAATAAACTGTTGAAATCTAAAGAGCGAAAGTACTTGAAAATTTGGTGGACAGCACTAATTCAAACTGCCGAAAATTCCTAAATTTCTCCAATTTTTTTCTGAGGACCACTCTCTGATGATGAAGTGAATTTCTCACATGCCACGACTAGCTACCATGATTTGTAGTGGTCTTATTGTCATTTCTCTTTAAAGGACTACTGACTAGTATATAAATGGAGCAGTTGACTTCATATGATTTTGATGACTAGAAGAACGAGTATACTGCACGGCAGTTCGTTCTGTTTCACTTTACGGCTGCTGAACGTGGCCATTATGGGTTGGAGATATTCATAAGCTACTAGAATTTGACCACAGATGCCTTAGAAATATTGCTCGCATCTGCTGGGATCACCGGGTAAGTAATAGTGAGGTTAGATGTAGGGCATTAGGGAATGATGGTAAATCAGTTGATGAGGTTGTGAATCTTCACTGACTAAGATGGTTGGGCCATGTGTTACGTATGCCTGAACACCGATTACCACGACGCGCAATGCTAACTGGTGTTAGGGATGATTGGAAGAAAGTTAAGGCGGCCAAACAAAAACGTGGCATCAGTGCTTATAGTCACTAACGTCTGGTCCGAGCCATGTTGGTAGATGCAGACTACTTGGTTGGGATCCGCGTGACTGTCGTAACAAATGGTTGGAGACTCTTGGTGACATGACTCAGAATCGATCACAATGGCGTCGGTGTATACACTCTCTGTCTTCCCTTAAACTAAGAGATTAAAATCGCTTCATATCTTTCTTTCTACAAACCAATTTTTTCTCCCTGTACTATCTCCTTATACACAATCTTTCTTCTATACATTACCACCACTGAATCAACTACTTTTATGAATCCGGTGTTCATCTTGTTGTGCTAATGAGGTGTGGCAACTTGGACCGATGCACATATGTGCCTGGTCCCATGTTGTAACTGATTGACTGATGACTAAAAGGCTAGTATGCCATAGTTACCAAAAGGTTCATTATTTATCATGATTGAAGCAGATAAATTGATATGTGAACGTATATTTGTAAAATCTCTGTTTCTTCCTTGTTTCCGTGTCACTTTTAAAGTTCAACCGACGCTTGTTAACAGTTTTAATGAATGTAAACTCGGCTTTATATTTTGTTTTTCACTCAATTGTTATAATACTCTGAGAGATTCCTGAAACTACCCTAACCAAACATCGACCAAATAAGAAGTGAAAAATGCCGACGGGCGCACTATGTTGCTTGAAAACGTTATCTTATTTCCTTATAGATATTTATGAATGATTTGTACGTGTATTTTGGATTCAGTTGATCACTAAAAGCATCCTGCTCACTGTTGGTTTTCTCACATAAGTACAGGGTTTGGGTACAGATGTGGAAAGCGTATATATCAGTTTCAGATCACGGAACAACACAAAACAGATAATCAGAAGACGGAGCGAAGGAAGCGAAGCGAAATGACGCACAGTGGGGAAGGCATGTGAACCAGCTCAACTTAACCCAACGAAATCAATGTTTATAGTGAAACAAAAATGAATTACAGACATGTAATAGGAAAGACACATACATACGCTTATATAGAGAACAGTCAACGTCGATGACCAAATAGTTAACGTGGTCAAAATATGAGTTAAGAAGATTGAATAAAGTGGCCTTTCCGGAAGCTAGAATAAGCTATGTGGGTTTGTATAGCACTACATTATTAACCGTACACAACCAAAAGTTGCGGAAAGTGTCTCGTAAAAACTATGTGGTAATAACGCTCTTAAGATCTCATCTATTATTACAATGTCTAATTAATGTACTCATTGGACTGTAGGGTGTAGTAGTTTAAGGTTATTTCTCTTGGTAATGTTAATCTATCTGTAACAATTAAATGTATATTAACAGTCTCTTGATGATACCTCTTGTGAACCTAAGTAGTACATTAATATGGTGTGAATTATTCAAGTACTATTGGTGCATTTTTTCGTTTCATCAACTAGCTTTTCCAAGTAATTTGATGTACTATTTTGTTAGATTTTTATGTGATATAACGCACTAGTTGATATACTTGACTTTCAACCTATGGGTCACATATTCGCACTCTAACTCGTTCGGGAACCGACCACTAACCTCCACACACTCAGTTTGGTTTATAGTTCGGTATTCAGAAGTGAATTCCGATTTATTTTGTATATTTAAACATATAAACATTGGTACAAGAAGGCACCGAATACATATGCACCACACAAATCACTTGATATATGTGAACTCTGGAATGCTGTTTAGCCTCCCGATTTGCATTATTAGCTGTAAAGTTGTTTATATTAGCCTCTGTTGACATTTATCCTACTTGATTGTGTGCTAAGGGTATCGTAATAGTGTACATTTAGTATGCGGTAGATTTTCAGTGGCATTTTGTAGCATGGCGATTCAAGTCGGTAAATATTTATGTCAGGTTCTTATGTTTATTTTTGTCAATGGTAATCAAATGTAGAATTTTTTGAAAAGATATCATGTACTCATTAACTTATCATCTTTGTAGGATATTCTCACATCCAGTTAAATTGAGGCTATTTACTATTTTAAAGTTAGTTAATTTTTTCTTAGTGGCGTCCCTGGCTTTTGATATTCTTTACATATATTGGGATCACTGTCTCATTTTACTCATCGGGTGGTTATCAATGTAGGATTCAGTACTCATGCGGACTGATCCAAGTTGCCACATATCACATCAGTCTAACAAAAAGGAAACTGACAAGATGAAAAGCTAAAAACGGGACTTCATTTCAACTTCCAAAGGAATCCCAATATGAGAAATACATTTCACAAGGAAGCGGTAAGATGTAAGTATGTGCAGAATTATAAATAACACTTGATTTAAAATGTCGAATGAGATAGGGAATGAATGTAACTATTCTACTGCTACGAATTTCGCACTTGACTTATACAGTTTATCAGGATTCATCTTCAGATAATGTATACTTTTTGTTTATCCAATATTCCATGTCTCCTTTAACAGTATTATAAAGCAATGAGGAAATTATCTGTTTGACGTAAATTCTTATGTATTCGGATCGTACACTAATGGGGATTAGTGAGGTTTTCTTTGTTCTATATAAGTATTTTTGCTCTGGCTTATGTGTTACATGTTACATTATTATGCTAGACAGTAGTTTTGGCTACATAAAGAAATGATTTTAATATTGCTATTTTTAGTGTGTAGTTATGAAGAGGTTTAGTAGATTGACTGTTTTTCTTGTTGTTTGATATTGGTCAAATAATTAACCTGTTTATATTCTGTCAGTTGTTGTAACAAGTTTTTTCGTGTTCACAGATAAAATCATAATGACTAGAAGTCAGTTCTATTCATTCGCTACTTTCATTTAAGTACTTGTTATTAAAAAAAATACAAATCTATGAATATTGTACGATAAAAAGCTCATACATTTATATAATAGTTATTTGATTTGTTGTTCAACCTTTCTTAATTGATGTTAACCTGGAAAAGCATGATCTAGATTCATTTGTTGTTGGTGATGAATAATTTGTAAAGTGGATTGCTTTTAATGGTAGAATTTATTCTTTTATAGTCTCAATAGATGATAATTTCTCACTTTTTAGGTAAATTATTCATATGATTTACACATACTTATTACTTTTCCCTTCAGTTTTTAGATTAGAAGAAAGGGAACAGGATCTTAGATCAGAATTATCTGCACAAAATGAAAGATACACTAAATTACTTAAAATTTATGTGGATTATATAGAAACAAACAATTTATCTGTGTCAAACAACGATATAGAATCAGGAACTGTATGCGTTGGTTGCGAAAAAGATACTGAATCAAATGAGCTAGTATTGAAATCGACTGCTGTATGTATTTTTAGTATATACATTTATATTTCATGCTGTAAAATTCTCTGCTTTAAACATGTATATAAATGATGTTTCGTGCCTTAGTTATTGTCCACTGCCCAATCAATGTGCGAAGCGTCATCCGATTTATAAAACTGGTTCACTGCGTATTATATGCAACGAAAGAAATATAATGTGGAATCGCGGTTATAATACTCAAGTCCTACTACTGTATAATAAAGTTTTTTTAAGCACTATAAACACATTTTTATCGAATCCAGAACACTTGTGTCTTCCTATTTTTGACTCATCAGTTGAATGTACCTGCTTTCTAGTTTTGATATTCATATTAAAACCCGAACTCAAGATCTTTGTCTTCAAATGCCAGCATGTTATTCAGCTCATGTACTTCCAGCTAACAAGTAGACCAAGAAAACACATGCATCTCGAATTCCCATACTAGTAATTATTCATCTTTACTAGAAACTTGTGACTAAATGGTAATATCGTGCTAATCCGCTTAAGATGTATACATACTAAAAAAGATCACTTGTAGCTATTTACATCAAGAACGAAAAAGTGCATTTTTCTTGAATGAATTTTTTTTAATAACAGATAGTTTTTGGTTCACTATTTTTCCTTTGTTATTACACGAAATAGTCGGCTAATTTGTTACAATGTTATAATTAGCTATAAAGTTGGGATGATTTACATATTTTCTTGATTACGGGATATGTGTAACATTTTGAAAACTAACTAGCATTAATATGTGTAATATTTAATTGAATATCGATAAACATAAACAACGTTACGACCTATCAGTAAAGTGTATCAGTCTAAATGGAGACATTCTACATCAGCATAACGATACAATGGTTTGGCAAATGATAAAGTAAGATGATAAGAAAAAAACGAATGAGACTTTATGAAAAAAAATGCAAAATAATTTCATTTCATCGACCTGTCAATCATCAATTTAGAGTCTGTCAAAAATGTAAATTGGCCTAAGTTGCCACATATTAGTGCAACGAAATAAACATTAACAAGATGAATAACGAAGGAATCAAAATATTGTAGTGACAATGATAGTGAAACAGACTTAGCGTTGAGAATAAGGTTCATAAAGACCGAACGAAAAGGTATGTACAAGGGAACACTAGAATTCAAGGTCTATGGGAAAATAAAAAGTGAATACACCTGCTCCATTGCCACCGATCCTCAGCCACATCACCCAATGTTTCTAACATCTGTTCACGATTCTCGCGAACCCCAGAGTACTAGTCTGCATCTAACAGCGTAACTCTAACGACAGTTAATGGCTTCACTGACAATTATGACGCTTTAGTTTGGTTCCCCCTAGTATCTTTTCATCCTACTTTTATACTGGTACGGGTGTGTTCTAAATCCTGTTGGGAATAACATTTGATCAATACATTTACGTCCAGGTTCAAGATTTATATAATTTTCTTGGATTTTCTGTTCACGAGCTCTTGTTAAGCATCGGGTGATGATAGATGTTAGTATTTTAGACGCTGGATATAGTTATAATGCTTCCCCTTTATCACTTCAGTCAATCTTTAGCCATAACACCTGAATTCTTCATACACAAATTATGGCTAAATGTTAGCCCTAATTTTTCCGTCTTTTATACTTGATAAGATTCATCTATAGAGCTGTAATATTTGTTTCATCCTAAAATACATTTCAAAAAGTTTCATTTCCCGTTTTATATTCATAGAATTCAAACCCCACAAATGAAAATCCCAATCAAATTCCAGTAGAACCGGGTTACATTTTAAACACGAATTCTAAAAATCATGACATTTCAACCATTGGAATTGATCTAATACGTAAGTAAATAGAAAGTTACCAACCTTAAATAGTTTTGTTTTATCCTACTTCTCAAGTTGTTTTAAATTGTAATTCATTTATGGTATGATCTTTTCAGTGATTGCTTCGGCGTAGTTAATTTTTATCGAATTAATTAATTGCTTTATCGGCTAGATAATATCCTATTGGTTTTTAAACAATATATATGTACTACTTATCTTTCATTACTGGTTTTATAACTTATTAGTGATTTCATCAAGTAGTAGTTTTTGTTCAGATATTGGTAAACACATATTGTGAATGCGCATATGTTTCTTATATTAAAAATGTATGTATTGTTACATTCATTATTTCTTTTCAAATGATTTGTGTGCGAAATTTGCCATGATGAATACGATACTTATAGTTTCGGTGTTTTTAGTAATTTTATTGCGTAATTACATCCTTTAATTTTCATCTGTCGGGTGGGTAGATTCATGACATTTTAACCACAGATCTAACTTCATTTCATTTCTATATGAATAAATAGTTATTATTGTGCTAGGTCATTTAAAAGGGATAACTAGGTTAAGTCGTTGATTAATAATATGAGTTCAAGTGTAAAGTGGACGATGTCAAAGTAATCTATACAATTAGAAATTCATCTACATAGTGTAGTTTATTTTAAGGGTTAATCAGCTATATTCTCTTATGTATTCTTATTTTATTCAGATCCTCTAGAATCTGAACCTGGTGTGAACGCTTTGCACTCTCTTGATAGTTCTCTAAAGTCAAATAATGGTGCCGCCTCTTTTATTGACATTTATGATGATATGTAAGTGTTTTACTGCAGAGTTTTTCATTGATTGTAACTTTCTATAGATTTACTTAAAACACGATTACGTGCTGATGAAGTTCAGCCACTAGAAATGTACTACATTTGTGAGAATAGTTGTTGTATATCACGTGGTTTATCGGCTGATTGGTAAGAACCAGAGTATTTATCTACCAAGTACATGTTTATATAACCAACTTTAAGTTGCACTGTTTTTGCGAAGGTCAGTAATACAAATTAGCTATCCAAACGGAAGTAGGTGGAATGGAGTTTGATATTACGAGCTACTGGTTGAAAGCCGACTGATCTAACCACTAAATCACGGCTTTTTTTAAATATGGTATTGATTGTTATCGCATAACTAATTTATTTATACATAGTCGTAGAAGTTGGACATTTCTGGATTGATAAGTCTATCGGAAACATTTCTGACTGTTCTTCTGGCTAATATTCCAGTGCTTTTCGGGGACATGAGTCTCTCTTAGGTTGGAGATTTATGCTACCCGTGATTTATAAACATTCATTTAACCTGGTTTTAGAGGGATTCTTCTTGGTCACTACCGAAAATCATATAGAACTAGAAAGCGGAGGGTTTTAGAGCCTTTTCAGTAATTATCAATTTTTTTGAAATCGTACACACTTATTATAACCATGTATTTCCAAGTCCTGTCAGAGTTTCTACTGTTTGATATTACTACGTTTTGTAAATCTGCTTTTAGTCGTTTCAGTCAAAATCTCTTGAAAGGAACTCGCTTAACGTCTATCAGCACATAATAAACTGGACGCAATAAATTCAGACAAAACTGTTCTAACTTAAATAAATAATTGTTTAGAATAAATATTTGTTTATAATCATTCAAATTAACTTAATATATCCTTTTTTCTATTGTAGCGTAGATTATGAAACAGCTTTAGAATCAACTCCTGCTATGGGCACTAGTGATGATGTTGAAGAAATCGGTATGTTGTATTTCTATGATTACTACCAGTTTTATTTTTCAGTGTCTCATCATATCCAGTTCCGTAGGTTTAATCCAATACAATCTGTTTAATTAGTTGATTGTCAAACTTTTTAATCGATTTATAAACGCTATTTTCTCTTAATTATATCGATATATGCATTTCTGGTCTAATTGGAAGTTCAAATTACAGGGGATTAGATTTTAATAAATATGTTTCTTCTATAGGTATCATTATCAAGGTTTGACTTGATAATTTCGAATAAATTAAGAATTGAGTAGGTTGTTATAAATAAAATAATATATTTGTAATACCCCAATGAGTAGAGAAATTAGATTTTCTGGTGTTTCATGACTCAGTGTAAGCCACTTCTTCATAGGACAAATAACCAAGTTTAAACTTGGCTTAATTTTGATTTTGTTATTTATTCTCTGGAGAAGTGGCTTACGCTGAGTCACGAAACGTCGAAAAATATAATTTTTCTACCCATCGGAATATTACAAATATATTAATTAATTCATTTTTCTTCTATTTTTGTCTTTATTTATGAAAAAAGTTGGATATAAAATATATTTTGTGTTTCATTTATGTATTCTCTTAGCGTTTAACTACTATATTGGACGTTTAAAACAAATGGACTAGTAACAATGACATATTGGACTATTTGGAAATCAAAACATTGTCCACTTGACACAGGTGATTGTTCAAGCATCTCTTAAGTAAAAGTGGACCTAATTGGTTTAAAAATATATTATCTGAGCAAAATAAAGAATCTAGTGATAAGTGACAAAATAATGTTTTATTGTAGTTTCCAATTTCTAGCCAACAAAATTTAGATTTCAAAGAATGTTTAAATCAGAATTCGAATCCCCAAGTAATACAGATTATTATATATGTATATCTTACAACATACTATTCAATACTAGAATTTACAAACAATCAGGAGACCGATCAAGGTTGAGTATACGAACTTGTGTAGTTATTTATCGAATTTCGCTTAAAAAATATATGTAAATAGTTTCTTATTATTCAATCAATAACAGTATCCATATTGTATGTTAATTTCCTCTGGTTTCAGAATCTCTTGATGTTTGTGAACCTTCTGTAGGTGGGTAACTATTGACGTTATTTATTACCATGCACCTGTTTGTGTTAATCACCAATATTATCGGTGCACTCATAATCTAAGCTTAACATTCACATTTTAAATATTTTAACTAGTTCAGTTGTTATTGGGACTTAAAATATTCCGTTTTCATTTACGTAATTACACATTATTCAGTGGTTTTCCTGTCACTCATTGTTTGGTAACTAATTATTTTTTTCTCAATTAACTCGTGTTTTAGAAAAACACGCTACTTTTTTGATGTTGTCGTTGTAAAAAATACAACCGGTTCACAAGTTTTTGCACCAATCTTTTTTTGTTTAGTTTGCCTTTTCAACATACTCTTACATAAAAATGTGTGTGTGTAATTCGATTGCCAGTTAATATTAAAAATGAGCGATTATGTATTAGGAAATCGACATATCCAATTTAGTATATAATACTAGTTTGAAGCTCACTACTCTTAACTTCTCTTCCTTTGGTTGATTTCTTCAAAGTGTGATAGCTGATCATTTGTTTACAATAGACTTATCTTTCTAGTTCGTTTCCAAAGTGAAAACTGGTCTACTGAAGGTAAAGCGCTTTCTTTGAATTCCTAAAGCTAGTCATACATATATCACATTATAAAACATGTTTACAAAAGAAGCCTACTTAGCCCTCATTACCACTAGTACTACTACTTTCCTAATCGTCGGTTTTACAAATCACACTGAATTTTCAACTCTATCAACTCACTTCAAATCGATTCTCATACTCCTACTGTTTAACTTTAAAATTCATTTCTTTTTCTTGTGATGCAGTCCGTCTTTTTCCAGTTTACTAATCATTGTCCAGTATCTATATCATTTTGGATTATTCTTTACAGTTTTTCCTCAATAAGAATAATATTTTCTTATATTTTGTTCTATGGTTTTTCTTCCCGATAAATTACTGCAAACAATAAGGATTACAAGAAGGTAATATAAAATTGGATATAATTACAGTTGTGCGACTTAACGACTAAAAATGTACAGACATTCTCGTTGTAGAATCATGTCATTCTTCGTAGACATGAATGACGGTGTTCTAAATATTTCAGAAAGTTAAGGAAACTCGTCAAAATTCAGTAGTATCAAACACGAATTTGCGTTGAAAATGTACCACTGTACTGTCGGGTGCCACATCAGGCCCACATAACTTATTCTAGCTTCTGGACAGGCCAATTTATTCATTCCTCTTGAGTCATGGTTTGATCTTGTTAATTATTTGCTTATCAACCTTGACTGTTTTTATATGATCGTATGTGTGCGTATTTCTTATCCTACTCATCACATTTCTTGTAACTTATTTTTGTGTGACTAGAAATATCGAGTAACGGTTAGTTAAATTGAGTTGGCTAACATGCCTTTTCCAATCTGTTTCTCTTCTCTTCGTTCCGTCTCTCTGATTGTCTGTTCTGATCAACCACTGTACAATATATATATATATATATATATATATATATATATATATATATATATATTGGTCGCGAAGTTATGCGTCTACGGAGTCCTTCATCCTGTTTAACAATACCCTGTTGAAGACTTTTCCTGGTATTGAGAGAATAGTAATGCCCCTTTAGATCGCCTTTCTTTGGTATTTTGACTAGAAGTCCTTCTTTCCAGTCTTTTGGTACCTGTTCCCCATCCCAGATCTTTCTGAAGAGAGTTTGGAGTACCCTTGCAGTTGCCGCTATGTCTGCTTTCAATGCCTCTGCTGGAATGCTGTTTAGTCCTGCTGCTTTGCCACACTTGATTTGTCTGATAGCCATGCTAATCTCTTCAAATGTTGGTGGGCCAGCATCGATTAAGAGGTCCGTGAGTGCTGCTTCGATGTTGGGTGGGTTCAGTGAGGCTGGTCGATTCAAGAGTTCTTTGAAGTGTTCCACCCACCTGTTTCGTTGTTCTTCAATGTTGGTGATTACCTTGCCTTCCTTGTTTTTCACTGGTCGTTATGGTTTACGGTGATTTCCAGAGAGTTTCTTTGTTGTGTCATACAGTTGTCTCATGTTTCCTTCTCTGGCAGCCTTCTCCGCCGTCATTGCTAAATCTTCCACATATTTACGTTTGTCAGTTCTGGTGCTCCTCTTCACCTGCTTGTTTACTTCTGTGTATTCAGCCTGTGCCTTGGCTTTTTCTGCTCTTGTTCGGCTGGTATTGATTGCTATCTTCTTGTCCTTGTGGTTTTGTGTATGCGTTTATGTGGGAATATAGTCCCGCCTATGACCAGTTTATTGAAGGCACATAGATTTGCAAACCTCTCACCATTTTCGTTCCTTTCTCCCAGTCCGTGTCGTCCCATGATCTCTTCATATCCGGTGTTGTCAATTCCAACCTTGGCATTTAGGTCTCCCATCAGAATGGTCAGGTCGTTTGTTGGGCACTTCTCGACGATTGACTGAAGCCTATCGTAGAATTGATCTTTAGCATCTTCATTGTAGTCGTTGGTAGGCGCGTAGCATTGGATGACGTTCATTGTGATGCCCTTTTTCTTTGTTTTGAAAGAGGCTTTGATGATCTTTGGTCCATGAGATTCCCATCCTATAAGTGCATTTTTTGCTTGTTTGGACAGTATCAATGCAACTCCTTGTGTATGTGGGGCATTTTCTTGTTCATGTCCGGAGTATAACAGCAGCTCCCCTGAAGCTAGTCGTTGTTGTCCAACTTGCGTCCAATGTGTTTCACTGATCCCAAGCACCTCTAAATTGTATCTCCTGATTTCTGCAGCAATTTGGAAAACTCTCCCGGTCTCCCACATTGTGCGAGCATTCCATGTACCTAAATAAATGGTTGCTCTGGTTGTCAGAAGGGGCATCGGCCTTGTGACTTCCGAAGAAACTCGTCTTTCATCATGAGGCGTCATAATTCTTCTAAACGAAGACCTCTTGACTCCCAGGGCAGAGTTTAAATGGTTTGAATAATTTTTTCTGATTAGCGTTTTTTTCAGCGAGTTAGTTTTCTACGGGATGATTTCGCTAACCCCATGCCCGACCCTCCTCTTTTATCCGAGCTTGGGATCGGCAGTAGCTCCCCGAAAGGTACTCCAGGCGGAGTTAACTTGAGCAGTTAGGACTAACTATTTTCATACGTTAAAAATACAAAGTTTTCAGTTATATAAATAACTTTTGTTCATATCCATGTACTAGTATACAATTGAGTCGTAGGGTAGATCGTGAGCGGACTTCTCAACTAGGATATTGGTATGATGTTCAGACCAAGAGCTCAACGTAAATCCGAAACAAATAAATTTTTACTTGTATCTAACTATAGTTTGAACAAATTTGACCGAAACATCAAACATAAATATAGTTATCATAACAAAATACTTTGTTGTGGGAATGTGCTGCTAGATGAAAAGAGAACTAGGTTTTACAAACCAAATATTCGTCATCTCTTCTAAAAACTGTGCTCTGGGTATATATGAAGAAAAGTTATCGGACTTAATTATCGCCACTAACTATTAAAAGAGGGGATCATTGAATACTTGATCAAACGTGTGCTGAAATTCCAGCTTCATGTTGATTCGAATGAGTGAATGCAGAGTTTTGAATGGAGACTAGATTTAAATGCTAAGAACTTGACCAAGCTCAGCTTAAGGATACATGTTTCAGCCTATATTTAGGGAGCTAACTAGTTCAACAGGTGAACCCATTTTTATATACTACGTTGTTATACAGTTTCTTTTTAGGATAACAATTATAATTATTAAAGATAATAATAATAATATTATTATTATTATTATCATAATTTACCGAGACAGGTAAAAAAATTATGTGGGTCTTGATAGTTGTTATGAATCAGATGATAGTAGACTTTTTATTGTGACTTGTTGGTTTATTCATAGGGTTCATACTTGTCCAATCTGTTGAATATCGGTTATCAGAACAATACCGTCAGGTTTCACACTAAAAGTGTAACGTGCTTCCTAGTGTTGTGTTTGTTTCCTTATTCATTTCTTATTATGATTGGTTTCCTTTTGGTTCCTTCAAAATAGTTTCTTATTGTTAATATCACTTTTAAAAATGTACTTTTCCTTTTAGTTTTACTTTGATTTATTGTTTGTGAAATGTATTATGTTGAGGTAATACACACTTGTATTAAATTGATTGTTGATTGATTACTCAACTTCATGTTATCATGTATATACTCATAACCACAATGTAACATCACTTGGAAAACTATTAAAAATCAGAAGGCACTAACCAACTGTTTCATGGTTGTTTAAAATTCCTCAGTAGTATTTCTGTAAATACTCTTACATATGGCCGAGTCCCGAATTAACACAAAACTCTTAATCAATACTAAGTTGATAATATTCTGCATACATTAATAATAACTTTCATGGTGAATTTTTACACTTACATTTATATGCTTATTCTTTACATAATCATTTTTTTTTGTTTTTTGTATCCTTGGTTTTTTTGAAGTTTCGTGTGATTGATCTGCTTGAGCTTCCATTTTTGTCGCAAGTAGCTTGATTATCACAAACTAAAAATTGTGTTTAAAAAGAATCTCTTTGATAAATCACAATGTGTTATTCTCTTTCTCTGATAAATAAGATTAATTTGTCTTATTTGGTATCGATATTGTCATTTTATGAGTATATATTCATCGGGATGGCTTTATTCACTGGCACGATTACTATAATAGTTAAGAAGGATGAGCTAATAATTTGCTCATGGAAATAATTCTACATTCAAAATTAAGTTGAAATAATTTGTCAAAGTAATGGTTAAATGAGGAAAACGTCGTAGGGCATTTAACTTCCTTTCAAATACACCAATGATAATTGTATTTAGACAAGCTGATTGTAGTTTTTTTCATTACCCTTACAGTAGGTAAAACGAATCATTTACAGTCAATCGATTACTGAATAATGACCTATGTCATGTTTGTCTATTCTTTAGTCCTGATCGAATTCCATTGGCCAATTTGCAATGTGACCACTGATCTAGGTAGTTTGACATCACGCACACTGTTTTGATGTGAAGTGGAGGTAGTCAACAGGAGACCTTGGACCTCATATCCGTTGGCAATCGCTAGCTAGAGCATTACTTTGATCGCATTTTTATTTTCATTTCGTCGTGCTAATCAGGTATGGGAACTTTGACCAACGCATATCTATTCCACGCCTTATATCTATGATGTTTTTCTTCACCCATTAAGGAGGTGAACCCATGTGACTCTAATTGGAGTCATTCAGTTTAGCAATCTGGGACATATTCTGGTCGCAATCCTATATGAGGTCAGTTAAGACCTGATTGTCTTAATAGTAACGTCTCAGACTATGAAGTTGGTTGGTGCAGGTTCTAATCCCACAAGTAGCATCGGGTCTCTCAAGATTCCAGGTACGTCTTGTTGATGAGTGTCAACTGGTAGGGAACCTAGGTTTAGGGTTTCCTACGGACTACTTCTCAACCACTGAACCAAATAATTGTCCATGAATGCGTTGTTTACAAATTCGCCTAAAGTTAAAGAATAAAGAAATATTCAGACATTTTGAGTTATGTCAATTTTCCGTTCCTAGATTTTTCAATCATGTTGAATAATCATATCAGTAACTATGTGTGTCTTACTGCTGTTTGCTCACTAGTCTATACATTTTATTGGTGTAAGTGGTCAAAATGATAACTAAGCTGTTTCCTCATTTTTTTTGTTACAATCCTATTTTATTTAGCTCATACCCCTTTGGGAATTGTATTCCTATTGAATTTTCTTATTTACTTTGTTGCCGGAATTTCGTTAGCCTTATTGATTTTGAAAAGTTCAATTTTTGAAGTTTTACTTTACTTATTTTGTTTTCTTCTAAAAATATCAAGGTATGATGAAAGAAGTTGAAAAATTAATTAAAGAGAATACTGATTTGTATGAAACAAAGTAAGTTAGTTATCATTGAATTTAATTATTGTTTTTCGCATTTAGTATAAACTTATATGAAATAAGATTTAGTGATCAATAATATTGTATCTATCGAAACAACTAACTTCTGTCTACTTTTTTATTCAGTAAGCTATAAGGCGATATAAAATGCACAAGTTCGTCTTATCAATACAAAATTGTAGCTTGATCATTTTAAATACATTAAGCATTGGATGGTAGTTTAGTTATAACACAAACAATACATTCCTAAGTCATCTTAATACGTAGGAAAATGAGTTTTTAATGTTTTGTGAGAAGTCGTGGCAGTTGTTTTATTTAAGAGATGTCAACAATTGATTATTGATACCTCTCATTACGATACAGGTGGTTCGTTTAATCAACCCAATAATAATATGTATCTATTCGGTTGTCAAGTTTTTTCTTTTGTAAAATCAGACTCTTCTGTAGTGAAAAAATTATTATGGTAATAAGAGAGGTCTAATGGTATTTAATTTTAAATCATACGACTTAGTTAACTGATTTTCTTTTAGGTCTATAGTCGCTTATTAGTTAACGCGCTCTTAGTTTTATTTAACTAGGTTATAAGTTTCAACCCCTCATCGTCTACTTCTGTTTAAGAAACCTGGTAGTGTCACTAGGCCTTACGCAGTGACTTGATAGATGAGTTAAATGAAATCTAGTTTGTTTAAAATATATTGTGTATTGTAAAGAGTACGTGTATGTTGATTAGCAAGTAAAGAAATCTCTTGTTTTTTCCATTGAATTTATTTTGTTGTATTTCATTGTCTTACTTTGTTTTATCTTCATATTGCCTGTATAATTTATTAAGAGAATTTCAATTTTTAATCCATTCAGCATTTCATCTCTTGGAAGTTCTGTCTCATTCAAGCAGTCTCAGGTCCCTGAATGGTCGACTTTTTAAATAAGGCCATCAAATACAAAATATGATGCAGTTTTTCTGTAGCCAAGTGTACGATTTATACTTTCCCCCTTCCGTCTTTACTTTGATACCTGTTGAACAATATAAGTTTAGTTGTGTCTTTGGAAAGTCTTGATATTTGTATACGCTGTATATCTGAGACCCGTATCGAAGATTCATGTAAAACATTGCATATTCCCTCTAAACTGGCTGGTTTAGAAAGTTTTCTCCACGGATCTCAAGCCGGGGATCATGTGCCATTGGCGTTTACTTTTTTTGGCATCTGTGTTACACTGTGCCAAAGCATAGGTAACATTAATTTATTGCGTTTTCATTAACAGTCGTTCATGCACTGTTAGGTTAAAATATCTCTTCAAAGTGAGGAAAAGTTATAAGAAATGATATGTCTTCGTAATTTTCACCTGTAGCTCCACAGATTGTAGCCCGAATTCGATGAAAAACGAGTTCTGTCGTCAGATAAATGGGCCTTCAGCAAATATTGTGGTGCTATCTGATGTCTAGTAACAGAGGATAGTCGTTTGGGTGGTCAATAGGGACTTAGTGATCACGAGTAAGATAACGTTGAACATCTTTTGCACCTCTGTGATGATCGCAAACTGTTTCCAGCTAGTATTAACTCCCAACACAGTCATCCATTTGAAATATGCTCTTTGGATTTCAAGCCTTAAATCCAGTCAGTCACAATTGATTTAACTACTGATATTGTGGCTGTGTCTAAGACTACCGTTCATTTTGAAGTACTTATCTGAATTCTAATCATGCCCCAGTATCCTCTGAACTTACTTTGTCTCTTGCTTGCGAGACAATTTATCGTCTCAAACAGATTAATGTAGGCAAATATCAAATTGAGCTAGGATCCCAAGACCAGATGACTAAAAAGTTTGAGTAATCACTGACTGCATTTGCATGACGTAATAAAAATTACGAGCAAAGTCGTTTGTGGTTTTACAAGCATCGGGTTTTTCCAGGCTACCTTCCACTTATTTACACCGCATGGTCTACTCCAGCAAATCACAAATCCAAGTGTATACGTAGGTCATCATTGTGGAAAATCTCACAAACCTCGCGTAAGAGTAGAAACATTTGATGATCGCACTGTGGTAACGACTTGAAAGCAGCAACGGCATGTTGTATGCAATTAACGGTAGTTGTTTAAACTCTTCCGAGTTACTTGCAGAAAGACGTTTAATATCGGTAAAACAGTTTTGGAAGTTGATGGCATTCCATCTAGTAATTTCCAAATAAGTGTCAAACGTTGGACGAAGCATTTCCCCGGACTGGTGATCTGGTTTATTGCCTCAATAATCATGTGCTCCTTGACAATTAACTACCGATCCATCTCATGAAGCAGCGTTTCGTGAGCATTTCCAACCTCTGAGACATCACGAGTCGTCATGCTCAGATGACCTATTCTCACCATTGATTTCAAGAATGTGAGCGAACTTCTAGTCAGTAAATGGACTGGTTTGCTTGGAACGAAGCATTCATTGTTTTCGCCTTTAAAAAGGGATTATATGATGCATACAACAATTATCGAGGTATATTTCTGCTTGCAAGTATTTTCGGCGTTTGGTTACAGTGATGATGACTCATTCGTTGTCACCGTCTTTAAACACCGACTTCATTAGCTTGAACTTCTTCTACGAATGTAATTTAAAGACTTATATTGCGTATTACTTGGGTAATGTGAGAGAGATGGTTAGCTTATGACATAGTATCATAATAAGAAATGAGGCTGTATGTGATTGGCACCCGTCTGTCACTAATGATTCCCCATTTGGATTTGTAAAGATGATTGAACTCAGTGGATTGAGATGTTATCAGATATGGTACAGAATCGAAACCGGTGGTAATCCTTCAGTTTTTTTATCTAATACTTCGTTAAAGTGAAATGAACTACCTTAAATGTGGGGAATATTTATTAGTTGTATTTTTAACTGGATTGTTTTTAACAAATACCATCTCTTTTTGGTCATACATACTGCAACTCTCTCTTCTTTCCTTCACAATGTCATCAATTTATTTGTGTGATGCATCTTTTTGGTACCCTAATAAACCACGATATTTATATGCCTTAAATAAAATAACTTATCTTTCTGTCTGACTATATGAGTGCATATGTATGTGACCTTACTATAATCCGTGTCAAGTTTTCAAGGATAAAACAAGATAGTCCAATTTTTTTTTATCGTCGTTCTTTCCTTAGTAAATTTTAAAGCCGTCAGTTCATTCAACCTTCGCTCTTCTGAATGATCTAGTTGCTTTCTAAGTTATTCGAACTACATCAATTTAGTTTATACCTGTTCGTTAATTAAAAATAATACTGTTGGGGTATTCAGAAAATGCCCCAGAAATTATCTAGTGCTATTCCTGAATTAGAAATAGTGTCATTGCCCTATTGGTCAACATTCTTTCTCTATTGGTCAATATTTATTTGTGTTATTTCCTGAAGGTTAAATCTTGTACAAATGTTACTTTCTATTTTATGGTACGATGTAGTCTGTTTGATTGCTATATAAACAGAGTATGTTTGAAATATAATGATTCATATCTCCGAGGCTGAGACTTGTGTTCTGGACTCAATTGGCTGGGCTAGACAGGGAAGCAGCACCAATCAGGACTCTAGGCTGCTCGCTCGTGTTTTATGCGTCACTGTTTCGATCGATAATAGGCTGCTCTCTAATAGGCGGATCACACGTTATAACAAATACTCTATGACTCAGTTTTATTACATGATTAATTACTTATTTACTTACGTATCTTCTCGTTATTTCTAATATAGTATTTCTCTTTATTTCAGAAATGCATTAAATATTTTAAAAGATGATCTAATTAAAAAACTAGATGAAGTGACTGGGTAAGTGAATAAGCGTTGTATGAAGTATATGTGCTGTGAATTTTATGTAGTAGTAATAGTGTTGTAGGGATGTATGGTGACAATTTAAGGCTTTGTTTCGAACTAAAGTTATTGGTTTCTCTCCTGATAAAATCCACTTGCTACTAAGTTGTTCGACTTTTGATTTTTCTTGTTTACAGTAATCGGAGGGAGTTAGATTTCTATGAGATTTCTGAAATATTGTTAAGTTGTTAGTTGTAAACACTTTTTTCCTTGTCAGATATGAGCAATACTGATAATTTCTTCTAATTATTTTGTAGAATAATATTAGTATCTCAACCAGTCAGTCATAAAGGACACAGAACCTGGCCCTTGTTAGCAATGGTCCAAGTTGTGTTATACCGCATCACCATAGGGAGTTGGAATTATCAAAATAGATGTCAGAGTAGTAGAAATAATAACAATAGTATCAGTATTAGCGACAAAGTTAAGTTTAAGCAATATAATTCAAGAATGAGTAATGAATTTATGGAATAAAAACATGTAATTTTAAAACTGTGAATCTAAGTGAAAACATAGTTAATGCATCTACGCTGTTGCGATTGATTCTGAACCATACCGCGATAATCCCGTACAGCTCAACCTAGTAGTCTTGACCCACCAGCATGGCTAAATCTAACAGTAAATGACTTCATGGACTAATACTACGTCTTCATTTTGGCCATCCTAAGCTTTTTTACAACTTATTCCAATACCAGTCAACATCAAGCGTCAAGATAGGCAATGGTGGGACGTATTGTATGTCCCGATCACACTGGTGGCTGGAGATTTACAATCTTATCAACCGATCAACCACCCTTCCATACTACCGTGTGTTCTACCTCAACATTTCTCACTTGGCGGTTTACATCATATTCTAGCAATGTCCCAAAGACACCTGTGATTAAATACTAGTAATCCTCAAGTGTAATTTACTTTTAAATACTACGTTTTACAGATATAAACTAAAACAGTGAACTGCTGCATAAAATACTCGTTCTTTGGTTGGCTGATGGAAACAGCTCTGATGGATGTAAGTAATGGTGGTGTGGATCTGTTGCCTGGAGAAAGACTTCTCGACCTTGAGTATGCGGATGATATTGTCTTACTGTGCGATAATGTCCAAGCCATGCAATCTACACTTAATCCGTTGGCAATCAATGTCCGTAGGTACGATATGTGCTCTACACCTTAGAAGTGCAAAGTACTTCTACAAGACTGGCAGGATTCTAGTCCTGTACTCACCCTGAGTGGTGAGTGCTGGTGGCGTGAGTGATGAGATCGATTCACGTATAATGAAAGCCAGAGCGGCTTATACCAATCTGGGCCATCTTTGGCGCCTTCGTGATGTTAGTCTGGCTGTAAAAGGTCGGATCTACAACGCGTCGGTGAGAGCAGTTTTGCTCTATGATTGTGAAACCTGGCCTCTCCGAGTTGAGGATGTTAGACGACTCTCTGTGTTCGATCATCGTTGTCTCCGAAGGATTGCTGGCATCCAGTGGCAACACCATGTCAGTAATGCAGAGGTTCGGCATCGTGTGTTCGGGCACAGAGACGATAATGAAATTGGTGTCACCATCTTGAAACACCGACTTCGGTGGCTTGGACATGTTCTACGAATGTCGTCCCAGAGAATTCCACGTCGTGTTTTATTTGCCGACGCTGGACTGGTTGGAAAAAGCGGAGAGGTGGTCAGTATATGACATGGTGTCGTGGTATGAAAGAAAGCTGCAAAGGGCTAGCTTCTGTTGGTCCTTCACGACTCCCTGGTTGGGGTCCGAGAGACGGTGTAACGCAGTGGCTAGAGACGTTATCAGATATGGCTCAGAATAGAAGCCAGTGGCGATCGTGCTGTAACCTCTTAATTTCTTCATAAAAAGTGGTTGTATCTTCCTTAACTGAAAGATTTCTTCTGATTGTACCTTTCCGTTTCCCCCATTATTATTATTATTATTATTATTATTATTATTATTATTATTATTATTATTATTTCACTACCTTACGCTAATCTGGTCTTTATTGTTCTTTTTTTTTACGCTCCTTACCTTCTTTTTTTTCTCTTTCCATTCCCATTGTCTTGTGTGGCGCATATATATATATATATATATATATATATATATATATATATATATATATATATATTTGGTGCCCCCTTGTACCAATCTTTATGTGTTGAAATAAATAAATAAATATAAGATCGATATCTCGCCTACTTCATAGGTGACGTAAGTCGTTAAAGTCAGGCAAGACTTCTGAACCCGTGTAGGGATTTCTTCAGATAACAACACACCAGATTTAATGAGAATTCCAAGATAAGTGAAGTAATTGGCACGCTCAACTACATCACTCCCTATGATCAATCTTGACGATTTTGTGAACCAGTCATGAAGCAACCTTCTTTATTTGGAGGTGTTTTAATTATTACTCAAGGCGTTTAGAAGACGACATTTTTCTGCGCCTTCAAAGAGTAGGGCTATGTAATCTCCATATTCTAAGTCGATAGTTAAATCTCCTGAAATGAGATCAGTTCCTAAATTTAGACGAATGAAGTGTTATTTTAATAAAGTATCCGTGACAAAGTTAAATGAATATGGGGAAATTGGGCAACCTGGCCATAGGGTGTCTGCGTGTAGAGTCTTCACACTTATTTTGTGGTCGTTTTGGTGACAGGTTCCACCATAATACCTGTGGATGATTGGTATGAGGTGTTGCCCTAGGTTCAAGAACTGTTTATGTTTCTGTATCTGATTAGGAGCGAATATTTGGTCAATACGTCCACATTAAGGTCTAAATCCAGCTTGATTTTCCGAAGTTTGTTGTCCACTAACCGTAGTTAAGCGTTGGAAGAGTTCTGAAGCTAATATTTCAGAAACTATTTCATCAAACTGATTTCTCTGTTGTTTCAACTAGAGGATTTTAGTTCCTTCTCATAAACTAATTATGGCCAGTCTAATGGGGTTACATACTATTCCCAAACTGTAGCTGATATCCCAGTCAATCTTAAATTTAGCCACCATCCTTAATAATATTCTTGGTTAATCCATCATGTTTCTGTGCTCTCCCTCACTTTAGAATACATGTAGCCTTTTTAATTTCGCTGAGAGTTAGCATGTTTATGGTTATAACCCATCCAGCTTGTTTGATGACAGTAGACAACTGATGGATAGCTGAAGGCGGGTAAACTCTTCCTCTAAGTGCTACGCTCATCATTTCAACTGTGTGGGCTGAAAGCGGGTTATAGTCTTATTCTTTTCCAGATATGGTCTTACGACCACCTGGTATTTCAATACGTTTTTCTTTGATAAATCGGCAAAGTTGTCTGTTATTACTTATTACTACCACTCTATCTCTTACTCTCGTCGTCTATCACTGTTCACAGTCATTGCGTAGACGTTTTTCAGTCTACGATTAGGTTGCCTGTACTAATATCTGAACTTTCAATTCGACTGTTTCATCTTCGTTTCCACTGGTTAATAGTAATTAAGATAACTCATACAATATGTCTGAGATGTTCATGCTTATAAACATTTCGGTATTTTTTTTATTGATATCTCGAGCGAAAATAATCTATTTCTTTTTTGTTTGTTTATTAAAATTAGTGAGAAATCTATGTTAATTCAAGAAATACATGCTATGCGTACCAATAGAGATGAAATTAAATCTGAAGCTAGTCGTTTATCACGTTTAGTTTATGAATGTCGTGATCAAATATCTAGCTTAACTGCTCGTCTTAAAATTTATGAAGATGTCAACGAAGCTGATCAACGTTCATCTAGATTACTTCTTACTTCAATACAACAGTCGAAATCTTGTTGGACATTAAACGCAGAAGATACATGTCACACATCATCAAAATATCGTAATAAATCTGTAGATAATTTGAATGATGTTTCATCATTGAATGATATGACTAAAACTGAAGATGGATACGGTTTACAGAGTACCCTCAATAAAGTATGTTCTTATTTATTAAGAATTCTTATCCTAGAATCGCATTTATTTGATTGTTGCTAATATGACTGCAGAAATTCATTATTGTGATGTAGTTTGCGCCCAATATTCACTTGAATGTCATACAGTTCAAAGGCTTTTTAGAAAAATACTATTTTGGATATATATTTACATACACCTTTAGTAGCTGAGAAGTAAGCATTAAATGAATATCAGTGCTTGTTGATACAACGATGCAGATTATCTGTCGTTAGTATTATTTCGTCTTTTAGAGCTAAACGTTTAAACTTCTTGCTCCATAGCATTAGTAATTATAGTTATTGACGACTTCAATATTCAACAACCAAATAGTTTATATTTCGCTTTTGTCAGGCTTTAAATTTTCAAAATAATCTGAAAGTTAGTTGTTATGGTTAGTGTTTCCCAGAATTCATTTAGTGTTTTTATTCCTGTTTTTGTATACTTCTGATACCTTTTCATGGGCAAACAATTAGGTACCGAAATTCGGTGAAGCTTTCTTCACTAAACGAGAAATGGCTCGTGTTATCGCAGAACGTAACAGTTATAAAGAGAAATTTTTGGAACTACAGGATGCAATGCGCTTAATGGAGAGATTACGAGTAGATCATAACTCTCGTTTACAAGTTTCGACAGGTGATGGTTTCGAGCGTTGGGTACCAAGGTCATTCTTTTCAACCGTCCAGTCGGGTTTAACTGGATTATTTTCAACTTTTGATCACGCTGTTCCTTTAGCTTCTGTTTTGCCGTCAGAAGCTCAATGTCTTAGTCCATATCAGTTAAATGATTCTAACCGCTCTTGGTCACAAGGTCCTCACAATTTATCAGTTCAGTATATGAATTCCTCAAGTAATAGACGGAGGAAATCTGTTGGACTAAGAAACATGTAAGTTACCATACACATATTGTGTGATGAGAAATTGATGTAATAACTGGATTTTAAAATGGTTTATATATGCTCGAGATCAATAATGTCTCGTTTATTGGTGTCGTAGGACATCTTAATAATATCTGATTTACCAAATTATTTAATTTATGGGTGAGACAATCAGAAGCGCGTGAGTGATTTCAAGATCACGACGCCTATTTCAATACCCAATGCTCAAGTACGGTCATTTAAAGTGCATTCCAAAGAGAACGTCAAATTTGAGCGGCTACAGCAGACGAAATTACTGAGTTCTTTTATTTGTGATTGCGGTGCTCAAATGACTGCTGGACATTGTACAAACTATTGAGACGATGTTGTATTTCGATGTAATGTATGTTGGAGGAAAACGTCTGCTAGAACGAGGACTTTTACTCGATCCCAATTGGCACAAAGCAGGTTATGATAATTGTTATAAACTGGATAATAAAAGCACCAATAAAGTAACACTGGCTGCAAACTTTTTAAGTGTTACTGAAGCTTCGGCAGTTCAGTGGTATGAGTACTGTCGAGATACATGTGCAATGGAAATGACAAGCTTGAATCATTCTTTTGGAGGAATTAGGAGAATCGTAGAAATCGATGAAATAGTCGTTAGAAAACGCAAATTCAATAGAGGAAGAAATGTTAAAGAATACTGGGTAGGTAGCTTTGCCTTAAGTATACTTATCAAGTCCTTGGAATATATGATAGGTCACCTCGAAAGCGACACTTCTAGCGCGTGAGAAACCGACAGGCTACAACAATATTAACAATTATACAAAAGTATGTGCAGCCGGGTACGGATATATACACGGATGATTGGAGAGCATATCGATTCCCATCTGGACTTGGGTACGTACATCGTATCGTTGTTCACAAGCGAAATTATAAAAACCCCTCCACGGCACTACACAACAATAATATAGAAGCAATATGATCAAGGCTAGAAGAATTTTAGCGACCTTATAATGGCTCCATAGGTCGATTACTATGGCGTCATATGGATGAGTTCCTGTATCGTATGCATTACTATTTCAAAACTTCAATGCCTCTATAAATAATGGTCTCACCAATTTAATTAGTTTTAAGTAGACGTGAACAGTAATTCAGTGATCTTCTAAGCAGTCAAATTTAATAAATTGAACTGAACAATTTTTAGTAGGTAACATTAATAATGTAACTGTCAGTTGAAATATACACTTCGATTTGCTAGTGTTTATCACTCTTCGTAAAGTGGTAAAGATTATTCATTCAACTCCTATTTTCTTAGTACAATTAGTTTATTGTTGTTTATTGTAGTTAACCAACGTCAGTTGTTCTAATAACTTAATCACAAATATTGGAATATAAACTAAGTCTATTCATCATTACTTACTCTTAATTACATTCAGTTTGTTCATGAACGCTTTTGAGTAGCTGGAAACTAACCTTATGAATATTCTGTCGTAAACGTAATAAATGAAAAGTTATCCCCTAATACTTACTAGTTATTAATATTATGTTAGATAAGATCTTCATTTTGTACAATCTATCTGAGATTAAAAATCTATTATTTATCTAAATAATTTTTGTGGTTTTACAGTCTGTTAGCGAACTGATAAATAGGTTTAATCAGATAAATGTTTCAACACCAGATCATTTGAAGTACATTCCATGCAAACTGATTGGTCATTAGTTTTCCATAGTATTTTATTTCTTTCACAAAACATCATGTTTATGAATAAGTCGATTTTTTTCGTTTTAAGAACTACTTCAATAATTGCCTTTTTGTATTTGAAACTAAAAATATTTTATTATTATTATTACCACTACTCATAGTCATATGTACATGAAAAAATAGTGATGGTCCAAAACGTGATGTGAGAAATGTTTATGCGTACGATTCCCCATTGATTCTCATGATTTGTTTGGTAATATTATTATTCTTGTGACAAAATGCCATTATTATTACTCAAATGAACATGAAAACAATAATCCTACCACATGTGTATTGTGAAAATTACTTTGAAATTTTCAATAGGATTGATTCATATATAGTTGTTTTGAAATTGTTAATTTCAATTATCATTTTCAGTTATTTGTTTGTAAATAAACATTGTAAAACTTACTTACCTACGCCTGTTACCCCTCACAGAGCAGGATAGACCGCCCATCGGGATTTTCCATCGAACTCTGTCCTGGGCATTCCTTTCCAGGTGTTCTTCATTCTTTTGATGTCTTTCTACAGTGTAGAAGGCAAATATTAATTTGGGATTAATTATAATCAGTGATTGTTTAAAACAGTTGATCGTTGTATCTTTTGTTAAAAATGAGTTTGTTCCGGTGTTTTATTTTTATTTCAAATACTTTGTGTGATCTGACGATAGTTTTCATTTCACAGCAACTGATAATCACCACAGAATTCCTAAGCAATGTATACTCACACTATTGTATCATGTAACTTCTGCTGGGTTAGATGGTATTTAATTGTAAATGAATCGAGTATGCGTTCAAAGTAAATAAGGAATGCTAAGTATTCTCACGAGGAATCTGTAAAATGCATTAATTGCTCACTAAGCAGTAACCAATGTCCTATTTGTCTAGTCTTGAATGCTCTTCAATTGACAATGTGACCACAAGTCATCAAGATTCCATGCACTATATTTTTTCATGTTAGATGGTTGGAGGTAATCGAAAACAAACTGCTGAGCTATGTTCCGTACTAGTTAGCACTGATCATCAAGGTGTATTGGTAACCTTGAGGGAACTAATTCTCCTCATGGGGTGCAAGAATGTGTGAGTGGTAAGTGGGGATGTCTTAACCGTCGTGTAGTGGAGGTCAGCTACCTCATCTACCGATTTGTCATCTCCTTCAGTGGTTACAGTACATGTAAGCACGTATTCTGAGAGAATGTGTGATAAATATACTTATCACCTACAAATATCTCTCACGTGGGTAAGCCATATTTCACATCAACCAACATAGACTGGGCTACTTGTTATATACGTTATCGAAATTCTGGATTTATTTTTATGTCTGCCAGTGAGATTATATCACCTACCAACTTAGCACGGCTTTTAAGACCTTCAAGATAATGTGTCACTATACTTCCTGATTGAAAAATTTTCACTCACTTGTCATGTACTTAGTCATCATTATATTTTATTAATAGTATACGTTGGCTAGATTACAAAGATGAAATTTCCCACTAGAATTTCCATGTTAATATTTTGCATGTGACTGTTTGCATAGTATTATAAGCAGAAATGGATAGTGTCTGGTAGTGGAATCCAGGACGTGCGTTTCGTTCTATGTGGGACTCGTCACCTGAAAATACCTGCAAATGCTTTCGTAGCAGTTTAAAAACTACTGCTTAACTATTTGCTCTTACTATGAAATTAGGTTTTTATTTTTTCATTGGTCATAATAATATACTGCATAAATGTTCATGTGTTCATATGATGTATTATGATAAGAATTACGTAGTGGATTTTCCAAAGTGTACATTTGTAGTGCTATGCAAACCCACATAACTTATTCTAGCTTTCGGATAGACCAGTTTATTCATTCTTCTTGAGTTACATTTTGACCTTGTTAATTATTCGCTTATCAACCTTTTATTTTTATATGTGTGCATTTCTTACCTTATCACATTTCTTGTAACTGATTTTTGTGTGACTAGGAATATCGATTCACTCTTGATTAGATCGAGTTGGCTCACTCGCCTTCTCCACTGTGCGTCATTTCGCTTCGCTCTCTTTTCTTCGCTTTTTTCGCTCCATCTCTGATTGTCTGTTCAAATCAATGAGCGTACAAAACATACGCATTCAAGAATTCATTCTCATATTTGGTTTATTTAATCCAGTTATTCACGAACGTGACTTAAGTCGATGATCATGTACAAGGATTCAGTCAGTCAGTCAGCTGCAACGTAGGACCAGGCACGTATATGCATCGGTCCAAGTTGCCATAACGCATTAGCACAACAAGATGAACACCGGATTCATAGGAGTAGTTAATTCAATGGTGGTAATATATAGAAGAAAGATTGTGTATAAGGAGATAGTACAGGAAGAAAGAATCAGTTCCTAGAAAGAAAGATTTGAAGTGATTTTAATCTCTTAATTTAAGGAAGACAGAGAGTATATACACCTACGCCATTGTGATCGATTCTGAGCCATGTCACCAAGAGTCTCCAACCATTTGTTACGATAGTCACGCGGACCCCAACCAGGCAGTCTGAATCTTCCAACATGGCTCAGACCAGAATTTAGTGACTTCAAGCACTGATGCCACGTTTTGGTTTGGCCGCCCCTAACTTTCTTCCAATTATCCCCTACACTAGTCAGCATTGCGCGTCGTGGTAATCGGTGTTCAGGCATACGCAGAACGTGGCCTAACCATCTCAGTCGATGAAGATTCATAACCTCATCAACTGATTTACCATCATTCCCTAGTACCCTGCGTCTAACCTCACTATTACTTACCCGTTGATCCCAGCAGCTGCGAGCGATATTTCTAAGGCACCTGTGGTCAAATACTTGTAGCTAACGAGTATCTTCTCTTAACGGCCATGTTCTGCAGCCGTATAGTAGAACGGAACGAACTGCCGCGCAGTATACTCGTCCCTTAATTGGTAGACGGATATCTCGCTGTTAGAGGTATGAGGGCGGTTATCACTTCCCGGTTGCCCACACCGTGGAAGGGTTCTTCTGGAGGTACCTGAAAAGGAAATTGGATTAGAGGCGGTCTTAGTGACCTGAGAGCGTGACCGCAATGCCCAAGGGACAGCTGCTTGAGGTCGGTCACACACGACCTTTTTATGAGTGATTTTTGTGTTAGCTCCGTACTTGTTGAGTCCTTACCGCCGGAGACGGATATCTGTGGGATAAGGCGAGGTGTGCATTTTTAGGGTCGACCTTTTCTAACCCCACCCCTCTTTGTGGGAAGGCAGCATCGCTGTCATGCTGGTTGTCTGAAGGAAACACCTTACTGCTGTCACACCTCTGTACAGTCAGCAGTACGACTTCGCCTTCGGACCTTGGTTTTGTTGCTTTTAGTCTTACCGCTCTTCAACCGACCTGTCTGGCATGGTAGGACCTTGAGGAACGGTTGTTCCAGCCAGTATAGCTCAGTTGCTTCATCACGATAGGCAAGCCCGACCACCACGTCAAGGTAGCAACAACGGTCAGGTGTACAAGGGTTCGCTATATGAATATTTCGATAACAAACAGCAAACGATCTACCTGGAGTCAGATATAAGTCCACTAAAGATTCACTTGTTCGCTTAAGTTTGGACTACTTTCCCAACAGTTATTCTCTGGAACAATGATTAGATTTCTACTACTTTTAACGCTTATTTGACATGTGAATCTTTAGTATGTTACATAACGGAATATTTTGAAGGAATGGGATAACTTTAACACCTATCAATTTTCTACATTAGAATCATTCTGTTGCTAAATAGCTTTTGTATATAAAAGATCTAAAATAATACTTACATATTTAGACACATTAATAATTAGTGAAGTCGTTGTGCAAACTGACCGATTTATTCAATCGAAAAATTTTTTTATTCCCATACTGCTCATACTTAGCCTAGAGTTCGCATTTTATAGTGATCATTAGTTCCCATGGATCTTGAAAATATAAAAAGAAAGGTAAATGTTCATTTTCTACTTTGGATTGTTTAATATAATTTCATGTACCGAGACTACTCATTGTCATTAGGTCTTTAGTATTATTTTAATGATAATAATGATTATACACTTTGAATGTAACGGAGTGGAAACTATGAAAGTTCACTTTCCTCATATTTAAGGTAGATTCTGGCATCATTATATATATCATGAACTTATTAATGTTAGACCACCATTGATCGGTTTATGATTTTAATGATACTGAACATTCTCCACGACTCTATACTGGTAATTCATACATATTAAGTCAAAACCTAATAGTGTGGTCGCAGTTGAAATTTCTTTTTCTTTTAAAACATATTATCAACAGAATTACAAACTGATATAATATTGTCATTTGTTTACTTACTCTCTGTATGTGTTCATTTTTCTGTATTATACACAGGTTTAGCAGACTATTTGGTTATACAATTCCATATGATCCTGATTCAAACATCGTTAATGTTGGTCATGATTTAACTGCCGGCGTAGATAGTCACTCATCTGGCGAATCTGTATCGAAATCACTGGAATATAATCTTAATTAAAATCGGTATAATCCCGACAGATATATATGATGTTGGAATAGTTTTTGAATTATTTCAGTTGATTATCGGTGATATCTCTTTGACTAGCTTGAAATAATAATTCTTTTCTCAAACTATGTAATTAACAGGAAATATAATAATTTTGACGTAATCAAATTATATTTTTTTGCAGTTTTACAATTTGCACCTCTTGTTCTCTTTTATATACACAACTTTATCACTATCCTCCATCATTAAATCTACACTTCACTTACATCTACAAATTCGAATAAAAATAAGTGTATTTTTCCTTTTTATATTCAACAGCTGTTTTGTTTTCGCTGTTTAAACCAATTCTATCATAATCACTGTTTGTATGTGTTAAGTTGAACGATGTACTTCATTTGCTTATGTCAGCACCTGTGTGTGTGTTAATCGAAGATAATGTTATTTGCCACACCTTAATTTGTTTTTTTTTCATTTCTCCATGTCTTTCATAACTTGTCGTATTTTGACTTCTATATTTTTTTATACTAAAAACCAACATTACTTGTCAACCAACTTTTGTGTATTTAAGCAACTACGTTTTATTGATTATATCAGCTGTACTTTTAAAGCAACGTCTAGTAGAAGTAGTAGTATTCAATGCATTATTTATTTTTCTACATTATTTATGTGTTCTATTTTGCTTTTCTGTGAAACATCTGGATTATCTATTTATTATCTTTTTTTAAAAATGAAATTTGCTCTGTTACGTAGTTCCCATTAAAAAAACAAAGAAAATAAAACTTGAATTTAGTGATATTGTCCAGTTGGATTCGCATTATGATTATGTTTTGCTGTTTTATTTTAGGAATGAAGTTGGGAGAACAAAACAAGACTGAGTGCATTATAGTTTTCCTGACAAGTCAGACATACACTAACTATATTATGATTTAATATAAAAATTAACCGATTGTACATTTTTTTGTAATACTTCCTGTCTTGAAATTAAGTTGTCTAACCTATTTCTGACAATATTTTATCTTACAAAAAAACAGTATTGTAGAGTTTCCAATGGTTTTATTTTACACAGTTTATGTTATTTCTTCATTACATACTGAGTTAACATCACCAACTAATTTTTGTTAGAGACTCATTGGGATTCTTATATTATTTAGGCAAAATAGCTGCTCAAAGCTTCCTTGTCTTCAATGGTTGTCTAGCCAAAGTCAGTCCGTGGTTTGTAACTCAAACTGAACTATCTGTGCAACACCATGAAATAACGAAGTAATAATTGTTTGATATTTAATAAATTAATCTTAGGAAATAATCTCAGATTTTAAATCCATTTAAAAATATATACAAATCAGTTGTAGAAAAGGTCTTTGTTAACCAAATACTCATTTTGATCGAATTCTCTAATGTTATTTCTCAAAGCTATGTCAGACAATGTATGCCTAGAAATATTAGTTTATTTAGTTTAAAATCAAGTCTCCAAGATGCGAGTGACAAGAATTTTTAAATAATTTAGATAGCAAACGTTCGTTGGTTTCTTTCTTCGTTCACTTAATGGAGCGTCAACTAAATCGTTTAAACATTCAACTTTTAATCAACGAAGTTAAGTATTCAAACACCACTCCACTAAATTCAGTCAGTATAGCTGGATAGTGTTACGAATTCTCGCAGATACTAAATGTTTAATTCTAAATAGACAAACAAGTGCTTTATACAGTTAATACTATTGGAAGGCATTAATGGTTTCTATTGGAACGATTACTGATATTTAAAAGGTTGGGAGAACGTAACATCAATATTGTTCTAAATAATTTCAGAGTAATTTCGGACGTGATGTTACTTAAAACAAAAGCAATACAAGGGATAGGTGTTTATAAATTTGAAAGATGTCAACTATAATGTAATTATAAAAATTTGCTTAATTGTTAGACGGAATGAAGAAAATTTTATAATGGCTCAAGATCTTTTCGAAAGTGATTAGTTAATATATTGTGTTGTGAAAAAGATAACAAGTAAGGTTCATCTTTCATAAACTATCTATAATGGAAAAATGGGTTGTTTAAATTTTTATACGAAACAGTTGTTCGATTCATTTGTTAGAAATGAAAATTATATTTGAGTTAATATCAGTGAAATTTAAATAGTTCCAGTAGACATGTCTGGACTTCTTCAGGGTACTAATCAAGATTGTTTGATAACTTCGACAAAGTAAAACATGAATTAGTCATTATGTTAATCACTATTATACCTGTTTAAACTTATTAAATGCTTATTAAAGTTGTTTCAGTAGAAATATTTAGTAAAAATAAAGAAATTCATCGAATAAAAATTTTCGACTAAATCATTTACTGTTAAGTCCCGATAAGCATAATGAATGGTAATTTTGGGATCCATTTATGGACCAATACTAAACGTATATTTTTATCGTATAATTGCTAAATAACTAAACTATTCATATTTTCTTATTATAAGCTTTGTTTTGACCTATGAACCATTATTATGTGTTTTACCATTCTTGAATTATACCCTGTCTCTTTGTCACTGCCTCCCTCATTCACAACCACTTTTGGCCAAACCTTGTACAAATATTATTTTCTATTTTATGGTACGTTGTGATCTGTTTGATTAGTATATAAACCCCGTATGTTTGAAATAAATTATTCATATTGCAGAATATGAGATTGGTGTTCTGGACTCAACTGGCTGGGCTAGGCGGGAAGCAGGACTCTAGACTGCTCGTACGGGTTTACGCGTCATTGGTCCGATCGATAGGTCACTGCTCCTTAATTGGCGGTATCGTTACGTTATACATTGACAGGGCACACAGACCACAAGTTATAACATTTACTTAAACTGTACATTCATATTTGTAATTATCTGATGGATGTAGGAGAATAAAAAGAGATTACATCATAAAGTGGTTCTAGTTTTCAAATACGAAAGGTTAGGTAATTGTCGAGAGGTTAGAGATTAGATGGTGAGAAGAATAGGAAGATGAAAAGAAAATGGAATCAAAGGCAAGCTGAATCAAATGTTTGTGTATTTCTGAGCTGTCGGTAATTCACTAATTCAAATTCGAATTCAACTCACAGAAGCAATACATGCAACTTCACATTCTTCCATGGCCCTACTGTTGTTCTTCAGTGTTTCGGTTTTTTATTTTGTAATTTTTCAAGCCGTAATCTGTTTTTAGTATTATCCTTTAGCAATTTTTCATGATCATCATTAAGTGGACAATTATCTCTTATATTCCTAACCTGTTGATGGTTCTTATCCCCCCATTCTTATTTGACCTCTGAACAATTACCTAACCTTTCATGTTTGAAATTTAGAATCATTTTATGATGTAATCCCTTTTCATTCTCTTATAGACTTATACATTTTTCGAATAACTACGTATACGAATGTGCAGCTTAACTAAATGATTCTATCGAAGAGGGAATTTTTGATGAATTCTCTTTATTCTTGTTTAATGACACAAGGGCTACTTTAATTATCGGAAGTATTTAGATCAATGAATGCTTCTAACTTTCGTAACCACATTGCAATCTTAGTTCAAAATTGTGTTACAGAATCCTATTTTGTTCACTTTTTGAACTAAATCAGTTTGATACTAACCTTCAGTTCTGAAAAAGATTTGCTTTCCCAGATGAATTAGTTAAATGTAGCCTTATCAAAAAATCCAATTAAGTGATTATCCATCTTTATAAAATCTGTCATAATTTCAACAACGAACGACAGTAGTTTAAATGTCGAATGATTTGTATTCTAACATGACTCATACAGTTTAATACAATTATAGCAACTCACGTTCAATTGAGTTTGCCCTCATCTAATTCGTTTAAGCCCTTTTGTTAACCTAGTAAACGGACAAGGTTATCTGTACTTTAACAACTTATTCTATCTTTATTATTGTTATGCTTGTATGAATAAGCATGCTTGAACACTGTTGACTGCCCACGCATATATTCATCCCACTAATCTTATTATTATTCGTTTAATCGATTCGATAGTCCATTCATTTTTCTATATAATTACATGTATATTTAACACTCCACACATTTTCCACACATTCTCACACAATCACGGTTTGCTGACTCATTCGCCTCTCTGCTCTGTGGTTTGAGTTGCCTGCTAATAAAACTGTAGTAGCTGCTTCTCTTTGCCTTCTGATTTCAACTACCGTTGGGGTTTATACGATAACGGTTACGAGGGTGATTGGTCAACGAAGCACAGCCACTACACAATCATATAGTTATGGTCTCGGAAGATATACATTATACATACATGAAAAGGTTATAATATGATTACTTGGAGACTACAAAAAGCAATGAAACAATCGAAAATCTTAAAACTATCCATAAATCTGATTTATACATACCAAGTAAAACAGTTGGAAGTAATAATATTACTTAGAATTTAAATAAATGAATTGTCTATTACTTATGAGCAAATTGTTTGAAAGGTAGATGTAGCAGTAGGGTTATGACTAATGAAGTTGTCATAGATGATAGGAGTGGTGATTAGGTTACTGGGGAGTATGATTTCATTATGCAATGAAGCTAAAAAATTATTAAGAATATATGGAAATAAGACGAATTGTGAATTAAACTCACTGAATTGTAAATGATGAATGGGAAAAATTATACACACTATTCATTTCTGCTACCGATGCAGTTGAAGGTTAAACAGTGATTCTTTTTAAATACAGAGTCCAGGTTTTATCTCTTGATTGTTACAAACTTAACAAATATTTCTTTTTTATTTTAAGTGTATACTGCGTACTCAATACCTGGTGTTCAGTAGATTGTGCACTATATATATGATTTGAGTTAACTGTTAATAAAACTGTAGTAGCTGCTTCTCTTCGCCTTCTGACTTCAAATACCGTTGGGGATTATACGATAATGGTTAAGAGGGTGAACGGCCAACGAAGCACAGCTACTACATACTTCTTCTAGTTTTCCTACAGAATATAGCTTCTTAGTCTTACTATACAGAAGTTTCACTAAACCATACTTATAGTTTATCAGACAAAAGTCATTTAATTATAGATATTTTGCTGTGAATTTCCTTTCAAAATATATACACCAATCGAAAACCCCATTATTTTTTTCTGGCGAATCCTAACTCTAAGAAATGATACGTATCATTACTTTCATTTGCAAATACAAACCTGACACAGGATTTATTCAAAATTTCAAATGGCTTGTTTGCATGATATACACATTTACAGATAAATGAAAGCATCATTATGTACCTTGAATAAAATTCAGTTTCCTTGATGGGATAAAGTAATATAGCTCTCTTCAGATTTCCTATGAAAATATAGGGATGGATTAGCACAAAGAGGACGTCATTAGGCACACCACTCACTTGACTGTATAATTTATTATAGGACTGAAACTGAACATTTCTGGTGTATAGTCGTGGCAATTGTTTGAACTTCAACTAGGAAACAGATATGTTTTCTGAATACAAATAATAACTTCAATTGTCCCTTTCAAGTGACAGTTTGGTTTAAATTTGTGAAGAGAACTAGACGCGTTAGGTAAACAAAATGGTCCAATTATTTATTCGGTTTGTCAAAATGGTATTTTTCCTGTTGATATTTCTCATTACACTTGTATACACATAATACTCTCCATTTATTGTATCATTGATAAATAATAAAATTACGGAACTCAAGAAACAATAAATATTTCAAATCAATAAAATGTAAACAACCTTAGCTTTGTTTTCACATATTTATAACATATTTATTAATTTAAGTCATAATAGTAACGAAGCTTTGGTATTATTTTTAGTAGTATTTAGTGTTTTAAGAGCATTTTTTTGCGATAATGTTGATATCAATCGGAAGTGTAGTGATATTAGAAATAGTAGTCATAAAATGAATAATTGTTTTTTGGTTTTGTTTCTTGATTAGGCCTAATCATATCATCTTTTCATTTTTATACTTGTTTTATTGTGAATTCAAACTATATATTCGCTTTAATCTCATATAAACTGTTTATAGATCTCCTTCATGTAATTTATAAATGTTATAAACGAAATTACGCTACATGTGTATTGTTATTATTATGAAGTCAGTTTTCACTAAAAATTAATATCAAGT